AAAATCATTTAATTTAAAGGTCTGAAGAGCAACGAAAAGCAATTTTCATTTGACTCTATAAAAAGTTTTATTCTTCACACTCTCAGGGACTATTGAAAATTCCGGATCTCACAAATTAACAAAGCAAATTTAGCTAAGTCAAGGGTTTGGCCAAGAGTAGAAGTCAGACAATTTCTTTATTTGCTTTTCAGTTTTGCATAGTTTCCATGCTAATGCTACATGGGAAATAAATTAGTTTAGAAGGGCAGGTGCACTTACAAAAAACAGAATGGAAACTTAGTGTAATGCAAAGTAAAGGAACAAATTTTAATTTTCAGTTGGAAAATCCAAAATAAATTATAAGAGCGGGAGATAAATTATATTAAAATTCAATACCAAATTATTTTAATATTTTCAATTTGTGCTCAGTGCTCCCCTCACAAAAAATAGTTGTCAGAGAATCGAACTGGCTGTGCTGCCGGCAAAGTTTTATTCCGACATAGTAATGCACTCTAATTGCGGCCGACGAAGCGAATGGAGCCGGCTGAAAATCTAATTGCGACGAGGGGGATCCAACTGCTTATTAGGGATATGATATAGGGGTATGCTATGCTTTTAGTTGGAAGCTTTTGCCGCATTGATTGGCCGGACCGCTCCCTCTTCTCCCGTGACACGGCGCACTTTGCGGGGTCCGTTTTATTAAATTTTTCAGCAAAAATGTTGGCACTGTCGTCCTGGTTTCCTATCGCCAATTTGCCTTGACAATCGATTTTCATTGAGGGTGGGAAAATTGTTTTCGGCCAGACCTCAGGCAAAAGAAATTTCATAAAAATAATGGTTACGCGCGATTATGAAAATAATTTATCTAGATAATGACAATCGAAATTGTTCCGCATCTCGCGTACAATTTTGAGTTGATCCCCACCGTTTATGGCTTTATTTAAACCCACTTCCTTCCCCCGGGCCATTATGTGCGAATTGGTAGAACGATTTCCATGAAAATGAGAGAAATAATATACGCGAATCACAGATGTGGTAGAGAGCAGCGAGAAGCGAGCTGAAAAACTGAAATAAAACTATGGAAATGTATATTAATGGCTTACGAGATGCTTAAATTTGATTTTTTACTGCCGCTTATGGTTTCTTTATGTTCGAACATGGAAGTATTTCGGGACACTTTTAAACCCATAATCCTGTGTGGCATTTTTAAACGAACGAAGCCATTAATTCCACTTGGAATTAAAGGCCAGGCATTTAATAATACAAATTTGCAAACGCTTTAAATGAAGCCACGAAAGAGTGGGTATCAAAATTCAAGAAATTGCTAGGCTACTCATAATCTCTTTCCCCGGGATGAACGATTGAAAATCATGTTTTCCTTTCATTATATTTGCATAAATAAATAAAAAGCAGTGAGGCTGGTATTCAATTACATGCGGCAAAACAAATGGCCAATCGCAAATCTCTTGGTAAAGCCAGTCTCCCATTTTTTAGGCATAATTCATGAGCAAAAAATTCCCTCGCAACGACTGAAAAATGGAAAAGGATTTTCTTTCTTTATTTTTTCGGAGAGAATTACGAGTGTGGAAAACACCCGTGTTATTTATTCACAACATTCGTGCGTGGCTGCGAATTCCTGCGTGCCCTTTGTCCCCAAAACAATCCCGACTTAACTGCATTTATTATGAGACGCACTAAGTCCCAAACGGCTGACAGATAAGAATACCACCCACCTCCTCCCCCTGTTTTTAGGTTCGATTCCCGCTCCATTGGCAACGTGGCCCGAATGTTTGCACTGCGATAAAAACTTTGCCAGTGGGTTAGGCCACCACCTACGGGATCCATTTCCCCGATTTTCCAAAACAGAGTGCGACGCATTTTAAGTGGCGTTCTGTCCGCAGCTGAACTGCTGATAAATTGCACTGATTTATCAAACGCACTCACGAGAATGTATGTACTGACAAATATAACAACTAACTATTCTGGATGGGATAAGTGCAAACTGATGGGTAACCTGGAAAGTATGTTCACATATTCAAAGATACTTAATATTATAAAAAGAAGATTGAAGTTTTTTTTAAAAATATATGTGATAAAGATGAACTATATATAAAAATATATTATACACAAATATTACATTCTTTTAATCACATTAACTGGCATTAAAAACTGTACATTACTTGACCCCCTCAATTTGTCATACTTCATTGGGTTTTTTTCCCATTTCCTTGTTAAGTGATGTCAGGATATCTCTCCTTTATCAAATCACATTTAAAGGGTAAAAAAATAGAGGGGAACCCACTCGTTGGGAGCCCATAAGCAGTTGGCATCCAGATGGTCGCCAGATAAGCGGACCTCTGCCGGCCACTCGCTTTCATAAATCACGACACTTCTCAGTGAAGTTGTTTTTTTTTGCGGGAGGAGCGATGTAAGCCAGTTATTGATATAGGCTAACAGGTTTATTAGCCGCTCTAATGGCAGCAAAAGAAATAGATCAGTTTTCGTTGGGGCCATGCATATTTATGGCGTCGAATTATATGTTGTGCGTTGTTCTTTAAAGGGAATAATTTATCACTTGGCCTAGTCAGTGTCAAAATTCAATTAGCTAAGTGTTGCACAAATAAACCTGACCGCATCCCAGTCCCTCCGCCCACTTGTGTTAACATTCAGTTAACAAATTAATTACGTCCAGCAGCAAACAATGCGGACAATGTTGACATTTCAACGGGCTCATCAGCAGCCACTTTCAGTTGAAAATATTCAACGATTTTCAACTTTCGCTCTAAATTTCTTAATTAGCACGCCTTTGTTCCCGACCTTCATTTACATTTCGGCTGTTTGCAAGTTTCACAGTGGCCATTTCTTGGGATATTAGGGAAGCCATTCAAGATGGTCACGGCAACAGGAAATTTAATTCTATTCGAGTTACTCGAAGTGCAAGAAGTTCTGTGAAGTTCTGCGAAACAACGAACTGGAATGGAATAGCCATTGAGTTCTCGAAAATCAAAGCAGCACAGCAAGGCTTTCATTTAAAAGTAATAAGCTTCCTCGAATGGATGAAAAATCAGTGAACCACTAAAGCTAATTAAAAGCCCAATAAATTTTCCATTGAGCAATAGTACTCTTGTGAAAAATAATAACACCAATTATTGCTTTCAAATATAGTTCAAGTGATTTAATGAATATTAAAGTACACCATTTGTAACATCACTCATACGCCACCAACCTCCGCCATTTATTGTTTTATTGTTTGGCTAGTTTTAATTTGCCCTCGTATCAATATGTTTTTTATGTTCTGCACTGAATTGGCTAGCAGCCAATGGAGGTCATAAATTCATTAAAAATCGATTTGTGTTATTAACTAGCAAGAACAACAGCAGGCGATGAGATATTAATTTCCACAAGCTGTAAAAGAAAATGTAACAAAATCAAACTATTTGCTGGCAAATTGAAAACTTGGTCTTCTTGTTCACCTGAGTTGGCTAGGACAATGTATAGGGTTCGAGCAGATTGCTTGCTGAAAGTTTTTCAATTGATTGTGCCACAAGTTTGCCTAATTAGGCTTTCCATTAAATCAAACTTAATTAATAGCGAATTGAGTTACTGAGTGGCGGAGCTATTAAATTGAGTTAAGGCAACTTCAACCAATTAAATTACAGGTTTGCATCCGTTTGGAAAATGTAAGAAGTAATCCTTTTACGAAAAGTGCAAAATTTTAAGAATTTTTTTTACCTTTTGGTTTATGCAAATTGTGTTTATGCATTCATACGGATTTGATTTTTAAGGCATCTGTTTTTACGCTTTCTCCGTCGTATTTTCAATGGCATCCGGGCTTTATGCATCGGAAAGGAAAGTGGTGAAAAGCCCGCGGGCTGGGGATTTCCGGATGCTTACATTCACCTGGCGAGAAAACGCTGCTAGATGGCAGACCATTCATATTTTTATTACAAAGAAATGACAGTCGGGCGAAAAAGGAAGAGCCGAACGCACTGATTTCAATTACGCAGAGTTTTCCCACTCTCAAAATCCTGTTTTTGTTTTTGTCTTTCTTGCCGCTGTCCAAGTCATTGAAGTTTCCTCGGGCGTCGGTTACATTTTATGAGTCACTGTGCCTGGGTGGGTGGGCGAGTGTGTGCGGTTAATGGCTGGAAATGTAATGACAGGATATGCATTCCTCGAAGTGTCGGCGGAGGCAGGACGAAGGAGCCAAGGAGCGAAGCCACACCATCAAGTTGATAAGAAATTCCACGCTAATGTCATAAATCTGAAACATAAAGCCCTTTTGTGGCCTGATTTTCCTGCTTCATCTCCTTTCACTTCAAGACTTTAATGTAAAGTTGGCACGTGTTTTCCAAAATGCTGTGAAAGGGAATGCCGAATTAGCAAGCTGGAGGATAAGGTTGCATTACGAGAATAGTGAAGAAGGATCTGCCAGAATGCATTCTGGTGAAATTGTGCATCTGTGATGCAATTACCCAGTTAACAGAGCAAGTGCTTTTCAATTCCAAATGCAATAAATCAAAGGAGAAAGTCTGCCAGAAATGTTAGGTCCTTCAATGTTAAAGGTTTGTTTGTAGCTTGGGAATTTGTGCAATGGAAACAATCAAAACACTAGAACATCCATCTTCAAGTTGTGAACTTTAGTAAGAATAATATTTTTCCCAATTTTCTGCTTCGGATAGCAACAATACTCCAATTAAAGTTCAGTTTACCGCTTCAATTTTCCCCATTCACCAGCCAAGTTTGCCTCAGAATAATAGAAGCTTGTTTTGGCGTAAAAACCGAAATCAATAAACAGATCCCATTGTAAATATATGCATTTTCCCAACCAGAAAGAAAACAATTACAGTCTGAATACTCCGTTTAATAGCGTTAAAAATATGCACACAATATTTTGGCTTTTGAGCTGCTCTGGTATTTTATACAAAATAATTAAATTTCGCACAAATCGAAGAGCAAGTCCAATAGCAAATTGAATCAATGCCATGCTACAAATTGGATTGTTTTTCCCCTATTTGCAGCTGTCCAGATTTGGATGCAAAATGCAGCGGGCAACGAGCCGTGAAGGAATCGAATTAATCATGTTGGCTTAAACAATTTCCGTTTGGCCGGGAAAGAAATAACACTGAACGAAGGAAGGACGATTCCCCCGATGACAGCCAACTTGGTGAGCATGGAAACGGACTTGGGCTTGGAAATGGACGTGGATCTGGATCTGGACATGTCGGGCGTTTCCCCACTCCTGCCCGCTCCGCTCAACGTGACGCAGGCTCTCTGGGATCTGGCCACGTCCACCCAGTGGTCCCTCCTGGACTCCATGACCGATTCCATGACCGAGAACTTCAGCACTGCCGACCTGGCGGCCACCGAGACGCCCTACGTGCCCTACGGCCGGCGACCAGAGACCTACATCGTGCCCATCCTCTTTGCCCTGATCTTCGTGGTCGGCGTCCTGGGCAACGGCACCCTGATTGTGGTCTTCCTCAGTGTGCGCCAGATGCGGAATGTCCCGAACACGTGAGTATCCCAGGGAAAAGTTTGCAGCACCCCGGAAAATGGGAACTCAAGGCGGGTTGGCAAAAAATATTCTGTAGAAGTAGTTTTGGTAATAAATTAAAAGAAAATGTCAAAACATAATATACAGTCGAGTCCCGATAATTCGAAATGGCAAGGGGATCACTTTTTTTACGAATTAGACGGGAATTCGATTTATCGAGATTTTTTTCAAAGGGAACAGAATTTTTTACGAATTATCGCGATTTTCGATTTAGCGGGGTACGAATTATCGGGATTCGACTGTATTACAAACGGAGTATTAAAACATATGAGGAATATAAAAAGATATTCAATTCTATTTTATTACTCTACCTATTCTTCCTAGTTAGATAGGATACATCATTTTTGGAACCTGGTAAAATTACAGGTGTTCATCTTGTCGCAACACCTGTCGCCTCAGATACTTTGAGAGTGCCTCTTTGATTTACGGCAAACTTAAATTGAATTTAATTGTATGCCACACGCCTGGCTGCCAAATGCCTGCGCCAAATTATGCATGCAAAGGGCAAATGTCACGAGTTGGCCAAGACCCTCCGATCCATCGCTTAATTAAGTGGCTTGCCAGGCAGGAAAGGGATTCAGGCGGCGATGATAATGGTAATGTTGTTACCGCCTCAGCCTGGAAATTGCTTAAAATTTCCCCTTCCCATGCGGAAAAGCGTGTGCTCCTTCGTTCGATTGGCAGCTGTTGATGTTTTCGCAGCGGAGCTCAAAACGGCATAACTAATTAGTCGTGTTGGGGGGATTTTTGTTCAGTGCATACATTGTGTGCCATAAATCAAGTTATTGCGCCAGGCTTTCTTTCGGTCGAGATAAATATGATTTTGAGGCAGACAATAACCTTATGCGACTTACACGAGCGGCATGTTGCCTACAAATTGGGAAGCCAAAGTAATTTGTTAAAGGCGACGGAATTGTGTGGCAGAACTCTTGGGATCCAGGAAGCCTTTTAGTGAAATTGAAGCATTTAATGTGTGAGATGCTCTGACTGGAGATATTCTATCCCACTTTAAGCTTTATTAAAGCGTGATTATGGGGAGAGAAGTAATACAAGTTTTTGTTTATAAAATTATAAAATCCCAATGCCAAGTTATCTGGATGTTTGCTTAATAAAAAGAAGTAGGTCCACGTGATTAGCTATTTTAGGGATATCGAATTCCTTCTGCTCAAAGTGGACTGATAATTTCTCCAATAATTTCCCCCGCACATAGTAAACAAAATAACTTAAACAGCTCGGTTTCTAGTGGCAACTTGACTAAGTAAGAAGTTTATTAGCGACACGAGTTCATCATTAAACCGACGACCTTGGAGAGGAGGCAACTGGGGGGGCCTTGCCGCTTGTGGCCAATTAAAACATTCCACTTTGTTGGCGGTAGTGGTCAGCTCGGCTTGAAGGGCTTCCCCACTTAAAGCCGGATTGTTGTGCCACATGGATACGGCCACTTAAACCGGCCAACGGATGCACTAACTGCGAACTGTGAATTTACTAGCAACAATTTTGCATTAAGCTTAACGCACATAAAACTCGCAGGCGAAAGGAAATGTCAACTGATCAAATTACGCTGAAATTGCATTTCGTTGCCTGGATAAAAGCCAAGTTGTCGGTCGCTTTAAAAGCCAAGTGCCGGACCAGCAGGCCAGGAGGATACCAGGATTCCAGGAGACCAACAGACCACCAGACCAGCTAACCAAAAGACCCTTATCGTATTTGCCGGGGGCTTCTGCCACAAAAGCGTAATTTGGTGTTGCACTTCCGGCGGCCAGAACGTGGCAAACAAAGTGCCACATGCAGCTTATTTATGGAAAGCGGAGAGGTTGGCCAAGAGCGGAATAACTGCAAGAGATCACGGACCAAATTGCCTTTTATTCGCTGGATTCCGCGGAATTGTGGCCCAAAGTGTGTGGCGGCAGCAGGCGAAACGGAAACCCTTGAAAACACGTAGTGAAGTTCGCCTTCTTTTCGCTTTCCGGCGAAGGATAATTTACATTCTATTTAATAAGGCACTCGCGAGATAAATCAATCCTAATGGACATTGTATAACCCCTAAGTCAGCAGCAAAATACAATATACAATTTCCTTAAAAGTTAGCTAAACATAAATCAACTCGGTGCCACATTTTTATCACACTTCAAGGACACGTGCTGGCCAAAAAAAAAAAAAAGATGAGTTTACCCCGCTGCAAAGTCAGCCTGCTTATCTCAAAAATTGGGCATAAATCCATGGGGCTTCCCTCTCCTATTTTCCTGAGTAACATTTCTAAGCTGAGTTTACAATTCACACGAAAATGTCTTCTTTCAGCTATATATTATCCCTGGCGCTGGCGGATCTGCTGGTTATTGTGACCACGGTGCCTTTGGCCTCCACCGTCTACACTGTGGAGTATTGGCCCTACGGCAGCTTCCTCTGCAGCCTCTCCGAGTTCATGAAGGACGTGTCCATCGGAGTGTCGGTGTTCACACTCACCGCACTATCCGGCGATCGGTACTTTGCCATCGTGGATCCCTTGAGGAAGTTCCACGCCCATGGTGAGTTCAAGTATGAAGTAGAACATCCCTTAAAGGTGGTAAATAAATCTAATAAATAACTAGTTGTATCTAAATGAATCTATCTTTTTAGGGGGAGGTCGTCGTGCCACCAGAATGACCTTGGCCACAGCGGTGTCCATTTGGCTGCTGGCCATCCTCTGCGGATTACCAGCTCTCATTGGCAGCAATCTCAAGGCAAGTTGGCCTCTAGAACCGCCAATTCCCCATATTTATTTATGATTTCCTGCAGCACCTCGGCATCAACGAGAAGTCGATTGTGATCTGCTATCCGTATCCGGAGGAGTGGGGCATCAACTACGCCAAGGCGATGGTCCTGCTGCACTTCCTGGTCTACTACGCCATTCCCCTCGTGATCATCGCCGTGTTCTACGTGCTCATCGCCCTCCACCTGATGTACTCGGCCAGTGTCCCCGGCGAAATTCAGGGAGCCGTCCGCCAGGTCAGCCAAAACCCAATTTATGTCCCCAAAAGTAGTCACAAGCAGCTCCAATTGGAATCAATCATCCAGTTCTTGCGCAGCGAAAGCCAAAAAGGGAACTCCACAAAAGTGAATTATAAAGTTTTCCACAACTATTTTCGCAAGCGGAAACTTTTTCCATTCAGTTGGGTGTCATAAAATATTCATATTAACTGACCACCGCTTTGAAATTGTAAGGAATAAATTGAGGAACTTTCGAGTGGTTTAAAAAGCATGTGTTCTTCTCATCAATCAGTGTTTTTCATGCGAACCACATAATGGTATTCATTTCAAGTCTAAATTGTTTCGTATTTTATTTCCACTTCGTTAGAACTTTTTCCCATTTCTTTGTTTGTGAAGATACTCTGCGCGTGCTTCATACTCACAATTGTCTACGGCACGTGTTATTTATTTTGAAAGCTTAAAGAATTTAATAAAACATAAACAAAACAATTTGGTTAACTTCGGTTTTTTTGATAACTTATTTTAAAAAGTTTCATTTATGTTTTCTATTAAATTGTCCCTTCGAAGTATAAATTGTTTTCAATTTCACTTACAGGTGTTAGAGCTTTTCCTTATTCTTTTGTTGGCAGAAAAAAACTTTGTTTAGGCTTCATGTGTTCTATTGTCTTTGAATTTTGCGTTGTTTTATATTCAAAGCTGTAGGGCTTTATTAGGAAGAAAAAAGTCTTGCCTTTAAATTTTTAAACAATAACAATTTAATTAAACTTTTGATATTCATTTTTAAAGAGATACCTAATATATTTTCTTTGTTCAAATCCAGTTACTATACTTGTTTTTTCATCTATTTTTTCAGGTTCGGGCCCGTCGCAAGGTGGCTGTAACTGTGCTGGCCTTCGTTGTCATATTTGGCATTTGCTTCCTGCCCTATCACGTCTTCTTCCTCTGGTTTTACTTCTGGTGAGTGCTCCGAGCTTTCCCCGATTTGGTCCACCTCCCCTGGGAAATGGGGGTTGAGCTGCGTATCTGCTCATGAATGAATGGATGGAAAGTCAATTTGTCAAGCGGATAAAAGCGAACCTGCCAGCAGCAAAGGATAACGTGGCACACACGTTCGTGTCGCCTCCTCACAAAGGCGTCCTGCGTATGAGTAATGCTGTTGCCATTTGTCCGACACTTGTTCGTTGTCCTGGGAAGCCGGACAATCAATTTACTCGCTGATATCTCCATTATGGGTGCTTTGCAGACGCTGACCCCGTGTTTGTTTGCTGTGCTTCAGCAAGGGGTATTTGGGTGAAAGTAGGGTATATTGATTGCTCAGAAGAAAAGGAAAGAATAGGAATGCCTATATGGTTTGTTGTATCTCAATTACTTTAAATCACTCAGCTTATTCAAATGTTTAGAATCCTGTAAAGAAGTATTGATAAAGTATTTGAATAGGTAAGCCTCAGAGTGCAGTTTTAAAAGTCCTTTTATCTTCCAAGATCTTCTGTATTATTCACTAATAATTATATTTAAAGAACCTTTTTATAAATACATATTCCATTGCTTTATTTTGTAACTCTTTTCTATACTTGCAGGCCCACCGCCCAGGAGGACTACAATGCCTTCTGGCATGTCCTGCGCATCGTCGCCTACTGCATGTCCTTCGCCAACAGCTGCGCCAATCCCGTGGCCCTGTACTTCGTGAGCGGCGCGTTCCGCAAGCATTTCAATAGGTATTTGTTCGTTTACATCAATCCACCAGCCGCATAACAGCGCCACAGCATGATTAATCGGTATCAGCTAGTCGGCAGTTGGCAGTCGGCTGTCGCTAGCAGGTCAATAAACAAACTGTAGCCCCGTAACTGTAAGCGTAAGCCAACTGCAATTTGTATCTCTCTTTCAAAACAAGTCCCATAACTTTCGAATAACAGCAAAAACTACAACATTTTAGCAAACATGCGTGACTCAAAGTTCACTTTGATTTTACCCGAAAGTTAACACAAAACATTCAGTAGTTTGTTAAATGTCATTCTTTGTTAGTTGGCATGGTTTTGAATACCTTTTTTTTTTCATTTTCATAGTTGTTGTTCAGCTCACAAATTGAATTCTTTCTGTGTGGCTCACTAAATTAAATGGTTTTATTTTAACCTTTACCAGTTTCCCGGAAATTAATTTGTTTCATTTAATTAAAAAATGCACGATTGTCAATTCGAGAGTTCCCTTGGTGCAAGGATAATCAATATGAAATAGTAAACTGATGAAACTCTTTCAAAGAGTGCTTCGTTCAATTTGTAAACGCATTTTTGGAATGCCATGAACTATTGGCAACCATATGGTGCCTCTATTTATGTCCTTTTGCTGGCTCTTTCTAATATCCTTCTCGGCTTGCATTGAACCGCACACAAAGACCAAGTGCAGAACTTCCCATTGAAAATGAGTATCTGCTCTCGAATTGCAAACTGCAATTGTTGGTTGCTCCTGTATCAGTCACAAAGTGCCTGCTCTTTATGCATGCACAGGGAGAAATGTTTTTCGTTATAAGAAATTTAATTTGTCTGATTATGAGCTCAACACATTTTTATTTGTTTAAAAATTATTTGCTCAAATGAGCTCCCAATAAATACTCTATTCGATTCTCCTTTATAAAATCGATCAATTTTTTTGAATCAGACTCCTGATGTTTTTGCTCTGTGTAAACACATACTATATAGTAAACCCCACTCCGCCCACACACCATCACATGTGCGCGAGTTCTGTGAAATATTTTTGTTTGACTCGCGTATTTGGCCTGCTTTTCCGGCCATTCCATCCATTCTATTCGCCAGATATCTGTTCTGCCGCGGAGCGAGTGGCAGGCGCAAGAAACGCGGCCAGCAGGACACCTTCTGCATGCACCGGGACACCTCGCTGACCAGCACCGCCTCGAAGCGCTACCAGTCGCGCCACTCCTGCTACCAGAGCACCATCCGCAGGTAAACTAACTCCCTTTCCCCTTCCCCATTTGCTGCCTGTTTGCGAAATGTCCGTCATTCGAAACGTCCAAACGGACAGCTGTCGTTTGCAGGAGACGACGATTACCACGCTGCCGAATGGCGGCAATCAGAACGGAGCCCCCCATTCCCGCCGTGGACTTGGCCGTGCCCCTTGGCCAGACAACCGGACACCACGAGGCACCACCGGGCTACGGATTTCTGCCGCTTAACGAACTCGGCCAGCAGTCGCGTTCGCACCCACCAAAGTTCCAGGAGTCGCTATTAAACTGAAGTCGCAGCAGCAGGAATTAGTGGTCCAAACTGGACTCAAACGGAGTTTACAGGAAGTCGGTCAGCCGACTGCCCCATTATCCTCAGCACTCTAGCGAAATCAAAACTACCTTCAAGCCAAGGTTTTCCTTTTCACAACTAACTATGATTTACATTACCTAACTTTTTATGGCTTTAATTAATTTAGTTTCTAAACGAAATTTAATAGTTATAAGCTGAAACTTGCCTTGAGTTTTTAATAGCATACTTATGAGGGTTATTTTACCTTTTCCAGTTAGCTTTAGTTTTTAAGAAACATTTATCCTAGTTTTTGAAGCCCAAAGGTTGACTAACTGAAACCTCTCCATTAATCGGCAGTTAGAAATGTCTACGATAAAACTTTGGCCTCCCGACAAAGTAACCCACTTTTGTGTAATGTAAATATAAATGTTTACCAAAGAATTTCGATGTTATTCATCCGTGTCAAAGTCATAGGGGTAAGCCTTTAAACTAAAGTATTGCAGCCGTGGCACGGCTTTAAGCTAAAACAATTTAAAGAATAACTTACACTATACAGATAAGAATGCTAAAACAATTTGTGTGCTCTAAAATAGACTCCTCCGTTTACTAGCTAATCACAGAAACTTTGTAAATACATTTTTATGTGCCGGCATACTATACCATATAAAATAGTTGAAAATAAATGTAAATTGTGCGTTTAGAACTTTGTTTCCATCTGTCGTCGGTCGGAAAGTCAACGAGAAACCAGGGAGAGCTGCGAACACGCCATGGAAATTTATGGGGAATTAAATAACTGAGACTATCCAGCTGTGGCGAAAACAAAGAGACAACTTTAAGGAGCACTGAGGAAAACTTTGCGCACCCAGAAGAAAAACAAGGCAGGCCGGTCGTGACCTGAGAAAAGGGAAAGCGGATTGAACTGGGAAACTCCCTGCGGTTCTGGGACTCTGCGTGGGACACTTTTCGGGGAGATTAATTGGTTTGGCCCCCGGCACAAAAGGTGAAACCGGAGGAGTCACAGCATAATCTTGTTCACTTCAAACAAATCGCAGGTCCATTTTCGGAGCTTTGCGCTTTTCCCCGGGAAAACCATGGAACAGTCGCTCGATTTGCCTGCAGTATTAAAAAGCCATTGGTCTTTGAGTGCGGAAGCCTTTTGAAATATTTTGGGGTCCCAGATTGATCTGGAATCGAGATATGCATCGGCTTTTTGTTTGGGTTCCGACTTAACTCTTTCCCCCTTTGGGTAAGCCTTTCCTTAGAAGGGCTAAAAATACATTTATTTGCTTTATTTAACTTATGGGGGATAATAAATAAACAACGTTGTTTGCCTTTGTAATTGTTTACTTATCTAAGCGGCAACTTATGGATGGCAGGCCATCCTTCAAATTGTAAAGCCATTTAAACGGCTAGACATAAACCCGTTGATGGCTCATTAGACTGGCTTTCAAACTCATAAACCTATTATAGAAACTCGAGTCTGTGGATGATGACTTCTGTCTGAGATCACAGGACACTTATCCCTGTCCATAAAGCCACAGTGGCCTTTCATCCAATTCCCAGAATCAATTTCCGGCCATTTCGAAGATGATTCCGTGGGCGAAAGTGGCAATGAAATGTGCCATCACGTCAATCAGCTTAAATCGGTCGCACACTTGCCCCATTATTTACTGGAGCCGAGGATTCGACAGATACAGAAATTAAATTAACTCATGAAAATGTCGAGCGCGTCGGCCGTGCGTTGATCTCGCTGGCAGCTACGTGCCAAGGATTTCGGCCCGAATCCTTCGGCTCTGTTTGCATGTCCTGGCGACAGGCGCTATCTCGGCCTGGCAACCAAGATACGCATCCAGACATCGCAGCCACTTCTCCACTTTTGCACTCTTCTATTTATTTTTCCATCTCCTCGCTGCTCATTTTTAATAAACCAGCTTCGGGTGCTCATTGCGCATTTCAGCGACCACGTCAAGTTGTCATCAAGCCAAGTCGAGTGCTTATCCCGGCTTTATTAACTGTCCAAAGTGTTTGTCGCTCCTCCTGCGGTTGGTATTTCTCCAGCTATCTTGAATTTGTTCTTTGTACTGCTGTCCTTCTTCGGGTTTCGGATTTCCAGCTATTTTTGCCCATTTCGCGATGGTTACTTTGGTTTTTATACCCTTGCAGAGGGTATTATAATTTCAGTCAGAAGTTTGCAATTGTTGGTTTTCTTTTTCCGTTTTTTTTCAATTTTTATGATACAACCCCTTTAAAAATTTCTTCAAAATGGGTTTGCGGAAAATTCACCATAATTCACTAGTTCTAAGTCCTGAACTTTTCTAATTTAAATCAGATTTTGATGTGGCACACCAAACCAACTGCATGACAAGTTAATTTTTTAAATTTTTGATGACTACAAGGGTATATAAGCTGCGAATCGCCGAAGCTAGCTTCTTTTCCTGTTTTTAAATTTGGTCTAATGGAAACTTAATTTTGGTTACGTTTTACTGGGTTTGCTCGTGGCATTGGAATGTGGTCTAATTAGCGGAGTCGGATTCAAGTAACGGATCAGCAGCCAATGGGAAACCAATAATTTTTCAATTCCATCTAGACTGAGTACACCAAATACCCATTAAACTGAACTAAATGACATTTTTACAAAAACAATTGACCAGACGAATTTAAAATCGGGTTGCCAAATTGATTTATGGCTGATATCAATTCCATTTAAATCAAGAGTTTCCTCCCGTCATTTTCGGTTTCTAAAAATGCAAATGCGGTAGAAATATCTGAATTGCAGTGAAAACTGCAGTAATTGAATTTTCACTTAATGATTTTTTGGGAATTCGATAAAATTGTTTCGGGCACTAGACAAATTCAATCTACGAATTCCCTTCAACATTAATTTTCGGTTTAAAGCAATTTTCTCACTTTATAAGTTTAATTTAATTGGCGCATTAATTAGGCTTTCAAGGCATTGTTTATTAATGATCTGTTGTCAGCGTTTAAGCCACTTATTGTTCGATTTGTATCCTTGAAAGCTCTTAGGCATCTGACTATTCAAAGTTATTTATTAGGTTTAGGTACCTTTAAAGTCCATTGAATGTTTACTGGGTAGTTATTCTAATTCAATGATTGCTTTTGGGCAGACTTTGCTTAGCCAATTAAATTGGCTATCAAAGTGTGTTTAATTCAACAGTTCCTGGCTAAACGTAAACGGTCATTAATATTAATTAAAGTGGGACAAGCGCCAAGTGCCTTGACACTTCAAAGCCACAAAAACAAAAGCCGAGTCGTAATGAGGAGCACAATAACACCGCTAAACGCAAATAAAAACAAACAAAAAGACAAACATGGCAACAGCAACGGCAGTAACAATAATAATGGCAGGATCCTCTAAGACATATGGTTTGGATTCGGATGGAGGAGGGGAGGGGAAATGGAGAAACATTGCCGTGGTAAATAAATAAAACGATTTCGGGCGCTCAGAGACGCATATGTAAACACAGAGTCCTCAAGGTGGAAAGCACGACAGCTTAACGGCATTCCATGTGTGAAAAGCGGGGTTTTTCAGGGGGAATGGGAAATGGGAGGAGGAGAGGCGGAGAAAGCGGCTTGAGGAAGAGTCCTTGCTAATCGTAAATTGCCTGGCATAGAACTAATCTACACATGCACACTCGTACGTACGAGTGTGTATAAATATTAGGGGCATAAAAATTGGCACTCAATAAGCATGAGGGCACTTTGGGGCCACTCACACGATTTCCCCCCGAATTTTCCACCTCCCTGCACGCACATATGTTTATGCGTGGGCGTTTTGTCGCCAAGAGGCTCCAATTTTCCTCGACGACGCTGACGGCATAGTCTATGGTCTATGGGTTCGCAGCCTCCAGGTTCTCCGGGGTTCACAGACCCACGCATCTGGCCTTGCATTTTAAATGCCTAAATGGGATACAAATAATAATCATAAAAGGTTCATCGAATGGGTAAATACGTTAATGACAATGCCTCTGATGTTGTCGGTGGCTGAATAAAAATAAATTATAGGACACACACAGCTTTATCCACTTTACGACCAGCTTAAGGATTTAATACGGAGATAAATAACTTACTAACTAAAATTAACATAAGTTAAGCGAGCTCTGCAGATTATTTAACAAAATGTATTTGTTCATCAGCTTGAGTTACTTAACAAACTATTTATTAATAACTATAAAGTATACAGACTATGAAAAATACTGAACATTCAAGTCAAAAGATTTTGTCGAGGAGCTATCATCAATAACGAGTCAAAAAGCAATAATTTATAATGTAAATTCCCTGCTAAATGTGTTCAATGATTTATGTTGATGGACAAGGTGAAAGTTGTAGACCTTTCTAAATAATACATTTACTTCGTTATACAAAGTGGATGCCTAAGTGTTGGGGAAAATATTTTACTATGCCCAGTTTATGACCCAGTCATCCAAAGGCCAAGCCAAATGGCAGACCGAAAATCACCACCCGCTGATTTATATTAACTAGGAATTATACAAGCGTGCCAGGACCTTCCAAGTCCTCCTCCCCTCCCCCCGCTTCCAATGAGGAGTCCCTCCGATGTGGAGTGTATTTTAAGCATTTATGGCCAGCGGTCAAGGGGGGGAGACAACCGCCATCTCCTGAGAGACCGACTTTAAGCTCCTTTCGGGAGCCATCACAGTTGGCGGTTGGCCAAATGCCACAGGAGCCACCCTCAGTGGCGAGTGTAATCCTAGAGCCCGCCCACTCCTTCCGGACTCCAGATTCCAGATTCCGAGGCAGTGATTTCTGCCAGCTAATTGCCGAGAAAACAGGACAAACTTCAAAAATCCGACACCCTGCTCGCTGGGACGTCATTATTAGCCGAGGAAAGGAACGGAGAGGCGAGGAAAGGATGGAGGAGGCGGAGCACCTGACATTCGGGTGACATCAAGCATACGCCTCGTGTGGCAGAGCAGGAATTTAATTAACTTGCCAGATAAGTTGGCTGGCAACTCCGCCATCCGAGAGCTCGACAATTAGTGAGGTATTGAGTTGGGTTTTCCTGCCAGCCGAGAATTTAAATGAAGTGGAGTCCCGAGTCCCAGTCGAATATATTTCTCTGCCCAATTGAAGGAACGCCATTATCCGCACTTGAGAATTGACACCCGATTCGATTCGATTGGCGGAGGAATAAAGCAAGTTTAGAGTGGCAGCAATAAACCAAACAGCCCACGCGGACTTAAATTTATCCGAAGGCGAGACCCGCATCACAAAAAGTGGCATGTGGTGGGCCGAAAATCACGAGTCCTTTCGCCGGCTGAGCAAACAGTAAAAAGGACATTCGCCCGAATTGTCACATTCGTGCGCCTAACTGAATGGGACAGCCGCAAAGATTAAACTGCCTCCGATTTATGCTTTTGTCAACAGACAACAAAGATGAGGCCAGGAATTTCTATAAAGTCGCCGAGAGCCATCGAGAATCCTTTCTTGGCCTCCTTTGTTTCGACAACCCGAAATGCGTCAAAGGTCAAAAGGTTTCGAGCAACACTGCAGATGTGTTTGGAATATGTTAATGCGTATGCATAGTTATTATTCGCTGAAGCTTTCAAAAACACATTATATAGTCAGAGTTTTCCTATCTAGACTTCCCTTCTTAGTCTCCATTGTTTTAAGTAAACTGAAGGCGTGAAGCTAGAAGCTTTTAAATATGTTTTTTAAACTTTCATCTTTGGCTAGCACTTTAAATTTGGTCTGCTCTCCAAGTGCCAGACATTGAAAATTCACTTTAATCTTTTCCATAAATCCCTTGGCTTAAGTAAAGGTCAAAATTCGATTTATTTCATTTATAATTCACAAAGTCGTTGAACCATTTTTGTTCCTTATTCAAAATTCTTGTTATTCCAACTGAAAACCTCGCAAATCTGGCACTTGTCTAATTAATTTCCATTTCAATTTTAGTTCTTGTATCGGGCAATCGCTGGTCAGATGCTGGCAAACTTTTTTTGGCCCAAAATGCGAGTGGCGTCCAAATGGCGAACTTTGAGTCCCGAGAAAATAAATCTCCTTTTTCGTTTCGTTGATTTTATTTGTTTGTTGTAATGGCGTTTGGGGGATTGAGGGAAATGTGAGGATGAACCCTTTTCAATCAAATTAGCCGTAGTCAGTGGAGCAATTCCATCATAGCGGACAGATGATGAAAACTCTCGATAGGATTAGAAAACGACTGACGATGAACGAACAACAGCTGAACTGAAACAATTCCCTTGAGATGGAATCATTTTGCTTTCTATTTCCATAATTAATTCAACTACTCATAACATATTTTAATTTTAAGACAATTTATCAAAATTTCACATGTATGAAAGATGTTTGATAAAGTTGCTTAAAGCTTTCCACACTTTATTTAATTTACCATGGAGTTTAGGGCTTTAAGGAACCAGTCTTGAATTTCCTAATTTTTTCAGTTAACCATGAAAAAGACTTCTCACTGCGAACTAATAGCCGAAAGGCAAATACAGGACATATGACTGACCAAGTGCTCTTTAACCTCCTTTTTTTTGCAAGGAATTTGAATGGCAAAGTCACAGCGGAGAGGAAGAGGACCAATTGCCCTCGTCTCCTTTCTTTACTTTGGAATTGACAGCTGTCCCGACATTGTTGTCAAAATGTAAAAGACAAACAGCAAAAATTTCGCCGGGAACTTTGGCAAAATCATGAGTTCCTCATTTATCAGCGGGCAACAGTGGGTTAACGAGGATGGGGGCCTGTCTTTATGGTTTTCCTTCCTTAAGCTGCACTGCTGAGAACTCTAAAATGGCGGTGGACCCCGGCGAAACTTCGCAGAAACTCAGGAAAACTTATAAACCAACATCCAATTGAACAAAGTTGAGCGCAAGAGCTTTTGTTTTCGCTTCCGTTTCCGGTCGGTTGCATGCAAAGTAATGACAAATCGCTGACTGAATTGTGTCTAAAGTACGTGTCTGTGGATTGCCTTAAGAAATCTCTCCATTCTTTCGAGCCGGCAAACATTTTCCAGGCTCTCGAGTTATGACATTTGAAGGGGTCACATGTGTTCCGGGCGCATCACGTATTATCGACATGTTAACGAGGCATTGTAATATGCATAACCCGTTTACAATGGATTCATAGTTTGTGGTTTGCGCTCTTGAATGTTAAAGAGGAATCAAAAAATATGATAGGTTGCTTAGGTACTCTGATTTAAAAGAAGATAACCTGGAGAAGACTCTACTCTGGTTCTCTACTACAAATAATATGTTCAGTAATAAATACTTAGTTGCAACTAAACATTGCTTACAGATTTTCTGGCGTTTTACAAACAATAAAGAGAAAGAAGTAAAAAAGCTCCGGAAACTGAACTGCCAAAATATACAACTCGTGTGGCTCCAGCACTAAAATACCATTTTTCCACTCGACTTCACAACTGTGGTTTTCCCAAAGTTCAAGCTGGCTCCAAATGCAGTAAATAAAACTAGAAGGGGTAGTAAAGAGTTGCCAAAAACTGCGAGGGCTTACCAGCAGAACAAGGTCAAATGCTTACATTAATAATTCCGTCGAATTGTAAAAAAAGAAATATCTGCGGCAGTCACGAACAAAAGAAGATTTGATTGGCGCAGCGGATAACTGACATAATAATGCCAGAAAAAAGTACTCCCCTACATTCATCGCAATGGAGAGTTGGAAATTGCGTGAAAATTGTCTTGTCAGTGGCAGCTGCCGGCATCTGCGAGTAGATTAAAAAATATCAAAAGCAGCCGACATGGCGAACAGAAGGCACTTGGCACATTGCTTACTTTTCGGGTTACAGGTGGACAGCAGCAGCCGGAAGATGCCATTCCTTAGTCTGCAGGAATCCCGGCTCCGGGCGATTACATACTCGATACCTGAACAGTTGTCTGCTGTCTTCTGTCACTCCGCATCGCATCACATCATTTGCATATTTTTGCAGCCGGCTTGTTGCGCTTATATCACGCATCCGCAGCGTTGGCCCATGCAATCGATGCCCTGCAGGCGCTTTTGTCCCTGCTCCACCACTTCCCCACTCGACGGCATCCCAAGCCTTGGTGGGTCGGAAAAGCTTTGTGCGGAGCGGGGGCATCATCTATCGTCAATCAAAGGATTCTGCCCTCTCCCTTCGACGGGCTGCTTGGCTTTGTAATTTATTTGCCTTGCTCGAGATTTGACTTAAAGTGGGTTATACCGCACGATTTGGGCCATGACATATGATAAGGGAAATCGACCTAATTTGCTCGTCCCCACTTGACCCACATAGGGCTTGAGGCCTTCCTGAGATTGCCTCAGAATATTTAAATCGATATAAGAAAATTTTAATTTGTTTGAAATGTTTATGTAATTGGATATTGGGCCCAGCACTATAGCACTTTTTAATTTAGCACATTTTTATATAAATAAACTGGTGAAAAAGAGGTTGACAGCATATCTTGAGTATTTAATTTGGCGGCAATTTTCCCCGGCTCGTTTAAATATTGTTTGATTGTGAAATTGTGTTTAGAAAAAAAGCATGCAGGTCAAAGCTTTTACTTGGCTGGAAGTTCAAGTCTTGACTATGTATTCAGATCTTTCAAGCTTTTATTTAGTTGTGTAAACCAGCAGTAGATGCCGCTTGCAGTCATTTTATACGTAGAATGTATTAACGTTTTAACTTCTTGTAAAATAACTTACTAATTCTTCAATATTAACTTTAGTTTGAATACACCAATTCAATTTTCATTAAAATCAACATAAATAGATGGGAAAGGTGTTGTTTACTGAAGTTGGTATTCTTAAACATCGGTTATAAGCTATCAGCTATCTATAATTCCACTAAGTGAATTTTGAAAGATTTAAAATATAACTTGTCTTGGTTTAGGCGAATACGAACCACTGATTCCACAGCTGGCTCGCAACTCTATTGCTCGTTTCTTGGCCAAATGTAGACGACAACAGCTGCCACGCGCTCGCAAACTCTCTTCCGGAGCGGCTCTCCGCACTTGTCTTGGCCAAAACGTGTTTTAGCCACTTCGCTAGCTCGACTCTTGGCCGCCCGACAGCCAGTCTTCAGTTCGATTCGAAGCGCGTCTTAGTTCGGTTGTTGCCGCCGGTCTGCCGATCCACCGATCTTCATTTGGCCAAGTGAATGTCTTTCAATTGTAACCAAAACCAAAACAATATCGTCCAGTGGGTGATATGTAAGTGAGCCGTGCGACTGTCCCTCTCTTTCTCGCCGGGTATCCCCGTCTCTTTCGCCGCGGAGCAAGTGCGTCCGGAGATTTGCTGACAAGCGGGTTTCGATTTGAATTTCGGTCTTCGGCTATCGCTTTTCGGGATATTCGTGGGTTTTTACGTATGCAAGCCGCGTAGTTTGACATTACCGTTGTCTCGACGCGTCATAAAACGTGACCACGCCCCCTCCTAAAACCTAGACCTCCCAAAAGCCATCGTCGGATTACCCGCGGAAAATTTCACTTTGCATCGAAAGCTGGTTTCTGCATACAGACAGCAATTAGCGGAGGTCCCACTGTGCCCACCGGACTTGGACTCGATTTCCTAAGCCGACATTAAATGGACTTCCATTTCGCATTAGATTTGTGTAGCATTGAGGTTCTCGAGCGTGTAATTAACATAAAGTTTTACCCCCGGCTGGCCTTCCATTAGAAACTGCCATAAATGCATAAGAATTGTGCAGTGAAGTCCATTCAAAGACTTAATTAAGAATTATTAATTATTTAATTACCCCTTGCTCAAGCCAAGGTCGTTGGCCGTTGGCTGATAAAATGCGATATTTTTCAGAAGTTTTACCTCTCACCGGCCACAGACAACTGGAAAACAAACTAATCAAAGAAAAAATCGCATAAATAATTGCAAGAAAAAACCGAATGCAAACAAAAAAGCAAACCTCCAGCCAAGATATATTATGTGCTTTCGTGTTTATATAGCAAAGACAGAGATTCAAGGTGAATGTTGCCATTATTTTTTGACAGAGTGCTCGAGCAACAAGTGAAAATTTATTGGGAGTTTTTTTGCTCGCGTGCTGAACGAATAAAAAAAAAGAAACGTTGCCAAAATTCAACCTGAAATAAATACCATTAAAAGAGTGCATAAATCTAAAAACCACTTAAAGGTGTTCAAAATAAATAATCAGTGACTAATTTGGAAAGGATCAAATAAATAACGATCTTTATTCCTTTCTTCGACTGGGAATCCCCAATGGATGCGTTGTATATTTATTTTAAGAATATTCGCTTTGATTAGCAATTTAAATCAGTTTCTTTGGAATTAGAAGCTTAATGATTCTGAAAAGTTATGTTATTAAATTGAACAATAAACAATTTCGGGGTTTGCTTTTTTTTATTAAGATTATCTACTATACTTCAGAAGACCATAGTTCAAGCTTTTCTTAAGCCTCAGATCCAATGTCATTAACCATTTCGAGAACTTAGCCTACTCACACACAATTCTAGTTATCCATCATACACAGCGTTGGCGTTTCAGCCTTGAACTTTTTCGTTAGGTAGAACCCGGTGCAAAAGGCAACAAAGAGAAAGAAATCACATTATTATTAATTACATTTTAACGGTAACTCCAAAACAACGCAAAATGCTTTGAATACATTCCAGAAGAAACCCGTCTGACCCGTCTACCCAAAAAACAATTTCTCGCTCTTGACTAAATTCGCCAGCAAAGCCATCAATAAAGCGTATACGCAACAACAAAATGCAAATACTGGACAACAAATAATTTAACGATAATTTACAAAACGCCCGTGGCAAAAACAAAAGAAGCAACAAGTTTAATAAGAAACCAGTCAAATTGCGAATTACAAATCCAACAACACTTCGGATAAGGTTTTTTGAGGAGTAACGAAAATGTCTCGGTCGGCGTCGACGTCGACGTCGCTGCTTCTCGGCCGCAGCATCTTTTTCTTCGTCACCATCTGCGGCTGCTGCTTTGCACAAGGTGAGTGAGTTTTACATATGATTTTTATTTTATGATGTCTTATGCGCGCCACAAGACAAAAACTTAATTTAAGTCATATTCTCCGGTGTTTGTTTGGGGCACAACATTTCGGTATCTCATCAAGAAAACCCCAAAAAGTCTGTCTGATTCACTCCATGCTAATTTATCTCGATGGCAGCGGCGTCTTTAAGCCGTGAGATCGGTGTCTTTTACAAGCCGGAACTCTCTGAAGGTTGGAATCAAAAGAACGACAACGCTAAATGCGTGTTCAAAATTAAAATCTCGAAATTAAAGTCAACTGCGAGTGAATTGTCACGAAAAGAAACGGATGCTTGGTGTTAAAGCTCGAATACAAACAAAAACACGTCTAAAACTTCCGGAGAGTAGGCAGATGGCCAAGATGATTAAACAACCAAATTTCAGCTCGAAAAGTCTAACAAATAAGTACTCGATCAACTGGCAGCCACAAATTTGGTTGCACCTGCAGTTGATTTTTATACCCTCGGGGGCATTCAGTATTTGACTGGCAAATGTCGACAGTTTTGGCCTTTTTCGGCCACCTTTTTATGGCTGCACAGAAAGAAAAGATTAAAGATATGACAATAACATAAAAACGTATTTAAACAAAAATCCCGAACTAGTTTGTATTGTATTAAAACACAAAATGATTAAGATATCAACAAAGTCAAACAACAATTTTACCATTCAACAAACAGTGGGAAGGAATATGAGTTTTTTGTTTGCGTTTCTGCATTGGCATGGCATTAATTCGCCCCTCAAGTGTGTTAAAATGTCAGTAAATGTCAATAAAACTTTTGTCGCCTCAAAGGCCTCTTTAAATATGGGGTTAAGTGTTCGAAAGTGGAAGAAAACCGATGTTTTAAGAGTTCTTGGCACAGTTAAGCGATTTGCTTAAGTGACTTTAAGGTAACAACAGTGTCATTGAACTTGTAGCCGTGTCACGTATACTTGGCATAATATTTTTAAACTTACCACAAATCTCCAACTCTGAATTAATCAGCAACAAAGCCGAACAAAAAATTAACAAAAGGCTGAAAAAAAGAAAAAAAAACAAACAAATTAAAACTAAATCTGTTGCATAAGACATCAATAGACAACCTTTCTTTCTACTGGCCAATGGATGCGCAACCCGAGACGGAATCTTTTGGGCCTTATAAAAATAAGCAAAAACCGAGAGACAAAAGCAACGTTAATAAAATTAACTTGCTAATGAAGCGATGATCACACCGCATCATTTCTATGAGCCACAAGCACACCTATACATATATTGACTTAAATCATTTCAAAGCAGAAATCAAGAAATACAACTTATGGAAATCGACTAGCAGCATTTTTGTATGCAGAAACATTTTTGTCGCGCGTGATTCGGCCAAAAACAACCAGCAGCAGCAGAATGGGAAAACAAGTTTCGGGTTTCTTAACGTTCCACTATGCAAATTAAACACTAAATACTGAAGATATACACATGTCTGCATGTCGTTTGGATATTTTGTAATATCACGATGAAAACGAAAGTGAAGTCGCCGCTTGACTTTGAAAAGCGCTCGAACGAAAGCCCCAGAAAGAGCCTTCCAGCTGCCCTTGTTGTCGCCGGTTTCACTTTTATTCCGCCATGTACCGAGTTGTTAACTCTATCGAATTAAAATAAATTCGCCGCCGCTGCCGTTGTGCCGAAAGAAAGTGAAAGAAATGTACGAGCTTGTGCATGTGCACATGGCAAAGTTGCGGCACAAGTTTGCGCTCGAAATCATAACAGTAATGGCAACAGGTTGGCTGACTTTTACAGTCCCACTTCTACAACTCGAACGCGGCAAGTCGAATTTTTGGGTAAATGCAACGAACTTTAACGGAAATAGATTTTATATATTAACACATTCAATTTCTATAACAATTATTTTCCTCTATAACTTGGTTGATAAAAATGTTACAAAATTACTTTCAATAATAACTTTTAGACTTTTTAAATAATTAATAATTAATCAGTGATAAAAGTTCTGTAACTTAATATAACACTGATTTTTATTACTTTAATTAACACACCAAATTTGGGACAAATAAGTTTACCGAAGCGAGTCTGTATTTGAAATCTGATTTTGAGTCTGGTTCGCGGCTGCGCACTTTTTCGAATTGTCACACAGCCGTTACTTTTTCCAACTGGCCGAACGTGACGCATTTCTTTGGCTTTATTTCAATGAATAAATCTCTTAGCCAGATGCAGACTCTGTGGAAATAATTGCTAGCTTACATACTCATGTAAATTGGCATTTTCTGTGCGCCGTAATGATGGGAAACATGCCAATGACATTGTTGTCCGATTCGACTCGAGCATTATGGCAGTGGAAAGCAAATTTACATAGACAATGTGCGATTTTTGTGGACCGAAAAGAAAAGCGCAGATTTTGCCAATGGCCAATTAAAATACATTCGCATTTCCACAGTGCTCAGCATTATTTCCGCTCAGGTTAACTGCACTACACTTCAAAACAAGTTTTTTTGGCGTCTGGTAAACAAAAGCAAAAAACAGGTGCAACAGCCCCCTGGTCAGCTGCTTTTTATATAACGGTCAGTTTAAAGGAGCAATTTTCCGAATGGTTTTTAGACATTGCTAACATACTTTAGCCAGTTCACTTTATTTGCTCTTACGACGATTTGGTTGAGATCAAGTTCCGAAAAACACGAGCACTGTCTACGGTTTACACTTAAAATATGAGATAAGATTTAAATGCATATGATTGCATTTGGCTCATGAAATAAAATCAGGGCTGCAATATATAAAACAAAAATACCACAGGGCTTTCATCTCTAAATTTATTTGAGTTGGCAGCTCTACTAAAGTTGTTTTGTTTGTGGCATCAAGTTGTTCGCTCTTTTTTAGGCGTCTTTTTAGCGTGCAACATGCCCAGTAAAAAAGGTAAACAATCCATGTGTACCGACGAGCAAGAATACGTGGTTGAGAAAGTTATAGGGAAGAAATTTGATAGTGAGGGGTATCCCTACTATTTGGTAAGATGGGTGGGCTTTCCGGAAGAGGCAAACTCCTGGGAGCCGATGACAAACGTTGGCAACGCCATTGCCCTGGTGGCCGAATGCGAAAGGAGTCTCTATTTAAGGAATGTGGCAGGGCACAAACAGAACGCATTGGCCGAAAACGAGAAAGAAGTCTTTACCAGACTTCCCACTCCCAAGACACCAATAAATGACAAGAAAGGGAAAGAAAGGGATTTCAAATCGAAGCAGGATAAAGGGAAGCTGGCTAGTCCAAAGGAATGTACAAAAAGTCTTTCCAAGTCATTGGAAGAGAAGCCCAGCACTAGCTGTACACCTGAGAAGAACGGGAACCTTAAACCACAAAACTTTCCGGATTGTTTGCTCAAGAGTACCAATGTTAAGCGTCACTCGAAAGTTCTGGATCTAAGCGAATCCAGTGACGACGGTACACCATTAGCAAAATATTTGTCCTACATACAGACACCTGGCGCTTCCCAACCATCGGCTCTGCGGCTCCTTAAAGAGGCCGCATTGTACCAAAGTGAGAGGAAAAGTTCCATATCGAACGAGTCCTCGTCCAGCTCGTCATCATCGTCCTCTATGTCATTGAGTACTGCACCTAAGACACCACTCAAAGAACTCGCACTGTACCGTGATGCAAAAAAAAGTCCCGACTCGGACGAGTCCTCCTCCAGCTCGTCGTCCTTCTCGTGCTCTTCGTGCTCCTCCTCGGAGTCAACCTCGCCTAAACCCATCGCAAAGGTACCTTTATCACTTAGCACGCTTAAGGAAGAGGCTCGGCAGTGGGAGACTAGAAAGCGGATGAACAAATTTGGTGGTCTAATAGATACCAAAAATACACCCTCTGCGATTAGCGAAAGATCCGTTGCGGAATTAAATATTCCGCTCAGCCAAAAAAGCCGAAAACAGAAAACTAGGAAATCCAAGAAATTACAGCACGTAAGAAATTTGATTTATTCTTTTCTAAGGAAATCAAACCAGGACTACCAAAATATTTCTAAGGGATATAAAATAAATTAGTTTAATAGTTGAAGTGTGTAACACCAAATTTAAAGTTTTTATACATGATTAAAAAATCAAGAAATCTGTGAGTAATGGTTTGATTTCCTTGTCCAAGAAATAATCCCTCAAAAAATAGATACATGGTGATCTTTCTCAACAGCAGACCAAATATAATTTTCCGACTCCGCCAACCAAGCCGCCAAAAAAACTTCTGGCAACTAAAAAGGCACGCACCAACAATGTGGTTTTGCTGAGCTCAGACGAGGAGGAGAATGCGGAGATCCAGCAACCCCATTGCTCAAATTCCAACATTAAGAAGGACCTGGTGAGCTCCGTGGACATGCAGCTGGCATCAAGCGGAGCCATCAGCAAGAAAAAGAAAAAGAAGGGGCGCCGGCGCTCGAAGTCAGTGAAGGGGAGCCAGGATTGGAAAATGCCGGAGTGCAAGGAACCTTTCGGACTGGATCGCGGTCTGATACTGGACAAGGTGCACCACAGCTTTATGGTGCGCGATCACCTCTTCCTGTTCGTCACCTGGAAGGGCTGCCCATACCTGGATGCGGTTCTTTTGGAAGAACTAAAGAATGTCTACCCAATGAAGGTTATCGAGTACTTCGAGAGTTTGGATATCGTCAACGACGATAAAGCTGAAAACTAAACTTTTCTAACCGGTGAGTTGCTGCCGCAGTTGATGCTGGCCCTGTGCCCGTAACCTTAAACACAAGCTTCCGCTCCCGACCAGCTTCTGTTTCTTCTTCATAACTTTACAGTTCGACGCTCGCAATATTCGAGCCATGAGCCATGAAAACTTCACGTTGCCTTCGGGTCAAGATAAATGCCATCGAAAAACAAAACAGAAACGAAAACGAAGCATCATCCGGTCGGCGAATCACTTGTTGGATTTCCCTGTACATGCACCTGTATCTGCATTTTTCTCTTCTCTTCTTGGTAAACCATTGATAATACCAATGTTAGCCATATGACAAATTGCTTGCCTGAATCTCCGTTGCACTAAGACCAAGCTTGGTCGTTGATTTATGACTGTACCTTCGTAGATTTATGGATAGTTCTTAGGGGAATGTAAGGAGAAGTCTTTATCGCGTTAACAAGAGGGTATTATTGGCACATGTGTATCCCGGGCTCAATTATTGCCCTCTTCTCTTTCAGCAATTGTAGATTTCATGCCCGAGATCAGTGAGCGAAAATTATGAGGCTCCAGACTCTGGGTTTTCGGTTTCCATTTGGCTTATCTGTCGCATCTGTTGACAGCTGCTCCGCTTTGAACTCGGCGGCTTGGCAACATGTTCATTCGTTTGGCTAGAAAAGGCCAACTCCCTCGCGAAAGTTGTGGGCGTTTAAGAGGCTCCATGGTTCATTCAACCCGAGCCGAGTCGCGAAATGAAGTCAGCAACCCAAATTGTGATTCTGTACGGATGCAGTCCGCTGCCTTAATGGCGTATCTCATAGCTTTAACCTTCAATCAGACGTAAGTACTTACTTGCTTGTACTGTAATGTGCCCAACCCGAAGCCACTAAGGTGACACGCACGCCTGGAGTGGCGGACACACCTTTGCGGCGCACACGCTAACGCCACCAACTGGACTCGCCGGCAAATGGACTAATGTGTCCATTTAGTGCTGTCTTGCGAAACTTCAATGTCGTTTGTTAGCTGGCTGATTGCACTTTTTAGACATTTTCACAGTTGGATCTTGTAGCAGATCATTTAATTTCATAGCACCGAATATAAAAATCTGGTTTTATAACTAGTTAAATTAATTTTGAGGTGCCTGTAATGCGCTTTATGGCGTTTCAAATGGCTTACAGGCAATTAAATTTTAAATTTAATTAATTTAAACCATTCACGGGTTAAGGTCAACAGTTTGTGGCAGTAGATATTAAAGTGAATCCTTTGAATCGCTGTATAAATTAACTCTTAAAAACCACTTATTCTCCCAATTTTCACTCTACTTTGATTTTAATGCCTTCACCTAATTAAATGTATCTCTACCGCCAAGGCGTGTTTGCACTCTGCTGTTTGATCCATCGCTCTATTATTATTTTCCATTATTGCTGTGCAATTTACTCAGTTTTACCTTCCTGATTTCTGGGTTGCCTTCGACTTCGGCGTGCATTGATTTATGTGTGTTTGAATTAGCTGTCCATGGCATTTGCTATAATTTCTGTAGCTGGAACATGTTTTTCCACCCATTGTGGTCGTGCATATGTGATGGATTTCGGGGAGTGGTTGATCTGAGCCAAAATGGAAAAAGGGAAATTCATGCCGCATAAACTTAATAATGGTTCAAAAAAATTTCCATTCATTAATTGGCCGACCAAAAATATTCAAATTGCCTATCAAATGTCAAATCAACGAAAGCAATTTTAATTTCCATCGCCGAGACAGCCGAAAAATTGTAAATTTCCTGATTGTGTAATGTTTGTTGTAACCAACCATATTTCTTTATCAGACAAAATTTGCATTTAATTTCTGCCGCCACAGCAACAACAATGCTGGCCAGCTTCATATGTGATAATTTTCTCGCTCGTTTGACCATTTTTGGCTTGAGATGTAATTACGCCCAAGGCAGCAACGAGTTGCCAGTAAATACAGCAACAGGCAACCTCATTTATGACGCTTTGCATATGGTAAACAACAAATCAGAAAGAAGCAAATGGTGTTTTCTATGTTGGTGGTGGTCGGTTGTTGTAATGCAATTTGTTTAACGCTTCGTTTATTACCAAAAACAGCAACGAACGCATTTCTTGGCTTGGTGTTGCCTGTCTCGAAGTTGTTTTGTGGTTGACTGGGGCCAGCAGCAACATTTTGGGTCGCGTAGGTTGAGGGGCAGCCAGCAGATACAATATTTAATATGCAGCCATATGCAGAGTTTCTTCTCCATTCCCCTGAACCTCCTATTTTCTCCGCTGCATTTTCCCTGCAATTTTCCTCGCCGCATCCCATGTCCACGTTTGTTCATTTATATTTTCTGCAAGAGAGTGGGTGTGTTTTCCACTATTTGGGTTTTCTGTTTGTGAATTTGTTTGACAGTTTAATATAGCTGGTTGTGTGTTGGCACGAGTCACAATTTGCTGCCGCCGTTTGGCATCTCTTGTGTGTGCTGGGTGCCTCTGGGTTAGGGGTTATTGGAACAGCAATTATATGTAGTTAAGGTGGCCCCTTGCGGCTGCCATTGCCGTGCATTTGTTACAGCAACAACAGCTGCCGGAGATGCGGTTTGATTGCCCAACCATGGTTAGCCCAATATGGTGCCATATCGGCTTACAAATGGGTTGGCTCCATTACAAGGCCTGATTGATTGTTGATGGATATTTATTATGTGGTTCATATACCCACTGATGGAATGGTGCAAAAGTTATTATGGGTTATAAGTGGTTAGCTTATAAACAAGGAAATTCTTTGTTACTTACTGCATTCTTAGAAGCCTGTAACTTATTTTGGTTGATTAGTCTCAACTGATTATAAAGGTTTCCCCTTTCAACTTGTTACTTTCTACTTCTTTGTCTTAAACCCAATGACCTGCAAAACTAGTTCAGTTTCACGTAGTTTATACCCAAGTGCATCCCAGTTTCAGCGACCTTGCTTTGTTTCTTTGGGGCTTTTATCCGTTTCGCTTTTATGTTGACTACGCCCCAAGAACCTGAGCCAGCGGGCTATCTCCTCTTGATGTTAATTTCACGCCCGTTAAAGTGATTAAATTTGGCTTTGTTTGCTTTTTATGATTGCTCTTGTTTTCGTCTGTAGTGCAACATTCAAATTAGTTTATGTAGCAAAATAAAACTGTGTTTTTCATTTCGTTTTCCTTTGTTTCTTTTCAGGTACGAACCACATTTTGGCCAGAAGCAAACCTTCGCATCGTAAACATAATCAACTTCAAGTTCACGGTCAACGAATATCTGATGAACTTCAACGGATACATACAATTTTTTCTTGTTCTTTTATTATAACTTCATTATTATTTTGTAGCACAGAAACTAGAATGAGGGGATAAGATTTATGTTTTTTGTTTTCTGTACATGTAGCAACTTGTACTCTATTTCTATGTGAAAGAAACCCGATACTCGAAATGTCTAATAAACTTTATTTTTCGCGTGACATATGATACTTTCATATGGCTTGCATGTGACAAAGGAATTTCAACCCGAAGGTCGAAACGTTTTAGTCAGCGATCCACAAAGACAGATTCAATTAATAACAAGTCTCTGGTTCTAGCCACTTCGAAGAAAACTTCCACTGAATTGGCTGAGCCACTTGGCTTAAATGTCATTGGGTGGTAAACCAAAACCAAAACCAAAATCGAAATCGAACTTTAGCCAACCCGCTCGAAGTTGTTGACATTTTTGCCTGACTTTTTGAATTATTTTCAGCATCGCCCCACAAACTGCTGCAATTACCTTGCATTGGTATTTCTTTTGTTGCTCTTTCTGGGTGTGTTCTGAACGAAGGAGAAACTCCATTGATGAAATGAGTTTTGTATGTTAATTCGGCAAGATACACTGCATTCTTCGGATTGAGGTGGACTGGAGGTTGGATTTCGATTGGCAAGTGGGCGCTTACTATATACGTATGTAGGTGGAATTTCGGGTATTCCAAAGTTTTGAGTCACTTATCTGAGAGTTTTAAAGGTGATTACACACCAGAAGTACAGAAGTGCTTATAACATATACAATGGTATGTTTATACTCATATTTTTATATTTTCTATACTTTTAATGCTAGTTTCCTCATATCTTTTTTAGCCTATTTTGATTACTCGTCTGCTCTTTCTCCTCGATTTCCCATTAATCACCGACTTCCAGAGCTCCGCTTTAGTTTAGCTTTGTTTTGTTGATTGCTTTTGGCATTTTCGTATGGCTAAGCTACACCTACGATTTCCGCACTTGTTCAGAAATGCGTCTACCCTTTTATTCGAGTTGCTTTGCGCCAAATGTTTGGACCGTGAGTCAGAGACAAAAGCAAACTCAGGCAAGTCTTCGAGCGCCTGTCGATGTGCCACGCCCCTTCGAGGTGCATTGAACGCATTTACTTCTCGCTTCGCACTCCATTTTCCATGCACATTTTCGCTTTTCTTTTTAATTGGGATTTCTGGCTACGGCTTTTCCGCGGCTTCGTTTTCCCCGCCTTTGCATTCGCTTCGTTTCGTTTCACTTTCGCGCCACCAACTTGTTGCAACTGTGCCACTCGACTCGGACTCGGGGCGGTGGTTGTGCTTCAGCTTTATGGCTTCCCAGCCGGCCAAGTCGGTTCGAGTTGGTGGTCACTTTGCCAGCCACTTTGGTAGTCACTTTGGCAGTCGGCTTGGTGGCGGCGGAGAGCCACTCGAGCAGAACTCGCCGCGAAATTTGACAATTCGGCAGCCGGTCGCTCGAGTCGCAAACAAAAGCTGAAATTTATGAATTTAATTTGGACTTTGGTGAAAAGAAAGCGTTGACACTAAACGGAAGTGTTCGCCAAAGGGGCGAAAGTCGCGTCAAATTGAGCGATTAGCACAAAAGGCAAAGTGGGAAAAAGAGTTCGAGCTGTGTTGTATGAGTGTGTTATGCAATCCAAAGGGGATCGAACCGAGCGAACAATGCGATCAATAACCCAATAGCCAGCTGGCATTTGTAGGCCGATCTCGGGTTTCCCACCGCTGCATAACTGCACTGCAGACTGCAGCGAACGTATCACTCAATTAAGCCAGACTAATATCCAATCAAATGCCACTCTGACCCCGCATAATGGCCCAGTGATTCATGCCGCCCAGTGACCCAAAAGTTGACTCAGACACCCGCGTACAAGATATAGTATAACCGATATCGCACAGCCACAGCCACAGCCATGGCCACTTGAATGGGACACCCCGCTGGGCTGCTGGTTTTGCTTGCTAGCCGGGCTTTGCTTTATATGTGGCACATGTTTGGCTAATGATTTCTGGCCCAGTGACACAACAAGCGGCAATATTGTGAGCCAGCGGAACGACTGCAGAGGTGGAGTCGAGTTGCAGACACCACCAGGTGTGTGTGTCCATTCTGAAGAGAAGTGAACTTTGCGCCCTGCCCCGAAAAATGCGAAGCCAATGGAGTGTGGCTAAATGGGCCTAAATCCTTGACCCATTTGTTCGTTCTCTTAGCCGTCTGGCATTTCCGTTTTGTGTTGCAAAGTGCAAACTTAAGCTCCGCTCGCAGTTCGCTTCGATTTGCAGTCATTAAACCTTTTTGGCTCGATATTACGAGCATATTGTGTACCCCGAATTGGCAAGAGAAAGAGAAACAATATTTGGTAGGCGATTTTCAAGGTATTGCTTTTTTTTGCGGTTTGCCATTACGTTGGTTGCGATTTTTGTCATTTTTCTTCGGTTAAATTAGCGTTCGGGGAAGTCAATGGGGTTAAGCTGCCCATTAACCCACTTTGGTTAGGGAAATATTCGTATTTGTTGAGGGCAGGAAATTCGAAATGTTATAGACGATTACCTTTTGTTTACCTGCAAGTTATTAATTTTCAGGCTGTTTTTGTCAATTTGTTGCTTATAAATGACCCCCTTTAGTTATTGGCTGAAATTAGAGGCCTTTTATAGCTGCTCAATTTAAAAATATAGTATACACTACCCTCGCATAGAGATTTAAGTTTATGTGCCATTCACGGATGTTCGGCAAGGAAAACAAGTTTGTGTCTTAAGTCATTCGTTTCCTTTGTGGCCTTTTGTAACTGGAAATTATGGGCCAGCTACCGCGGCAACAACAACAACTGATGAGCGGGGGAAACCTGTAATAAAAATATGCAGTTATCCTTGGGATTACGGTTCATCAGGCAGCCCTATAAATATATATGTTTCTCCAGGGAGCGAAGAGGAGTCTCCTCTTCTTGGCCGCGACTCCGGCTAAATGCTCAGTGGCAGCGGCCTCTTAAACAGGAAATGATGCCCAAAAGCGGTACGAACAACAAAGCTGCCAATTTGGCTGCAACAACAAACAAACCGAACACTTCGAGAAATACTTTTCAGAGTCTTAAGATTACAACCGTGGATATGTGGCAGCTTGTGCACTGAGAAATACTCTTTTTTTTTTTTTTATACCCTTGCAGAGCAAAAGGGTATTATAATTTCAGTCAGAAGTTTGCAACGCAGTGAAGGAGACACCTCAGACCCCATAAAGTATATATATTCTTGATCAGCATCACGAGCAGAATCGAAATCCGTCTGTACGTCTGTCCGTCTGTCCGTCTGTCCGTCTGTCCGTTTCCGCGCAAACTAGTCTCTCAGTTTTAAAGCTATCGTGCTGAAACTTTCCCAAAAGTTGTGTAGTTGTTGCACGCAGTATATAAGTCGGAACGGGCCGGATCGGCCGACTATATCGGATAGCTCCAATACAAGAGAATGAAATAAAAAATTCTCACTCTGTTGTTTTTGATCAGATCGACTTGAATTCTTCAAGATGGCGTTTTCTAACTGTTATTGAATTTTGGATTAAATTTGAACAAAATCGGATAACTCTATCGTATAGCTGCCATAGGAGAGATCGAAAAATATATATAGAATTAATGGAAATAAATTGATAGCATCGTTGTTTTCTATCCCACGAGCTTGATTTTTTGAACATCAAGTTTTTTAACAACCCTTATATTGAAAAAAAGTTTCATAAAAATCGGACAACTATATCTTATAGCTGCCATAGGAAAGATCGAAAAAAACTATATAGATTTGTTTATAAATAAAATGATAACATCGTTGTTTTTCATCAGACAAGTATGATTTTTGGAATATAGAGTTTTTTTACGACTCTTGAATTACGAATTAAATTTGATAAAAATCGGACAACTATATCATATAGCTACCATATGATCTATAGTCGAAAATATGGAAAATGAATAGAAAAATCGTCTTAGCTTCGATGTTGTTAAACCTTTATGCATTTTGTTCGACATATTTGATGACTGCAAGGGTATATAAGCTTCGGCTTGCCGAAGCTAGCTTCCTTTCTTGTTTCTTAATTACATAACATTTTTAGAATAATTTAATTAACATTATCTTGCTCTCTTAGTCCAAGGAAATTCCCTACACGTGTTCTTGTTCAACTAGTTTTATATATATTCTCAATAGTCTGTGGTTTTTCCAAGTGCCTTGGCTTCGGCAAAAGAAGAGGTCTCTTAACGAGCGGCATGCATAAAATATGCCCTTTGTGCCGAAGACATTGCTGATCGCCTGATTGCAGGCCGTTCGTGGATTCTGCGTTTTTAATAAAAATGTCAAGCGCCGAGTGGAAGAAGAAGGTGGCGGCGGCGGCGGCGGCGGCGGGTAACAATGAATTGGCAATTTGCAAAGCTGCTCCTTCGCTAAGTAATCCCCACATTGAGGCATCGGTTATTGGAAGGCATTTGGGACTCAGATTCGGACTCGGATTTCTGCGTTGGCGTCTGTGGAAAAGACTCTCGAAAAGCCATTCAACCCGTGATAACTCTTGATTGACGGTGGCTGGCAACCTGACGGTTGGCTTTATCCCAAGTGATATTTGCTTTAATAACACTCGAGAACTGCAGGGCTTTTGTGGTTCGTTGAACTTCTGGGCTTCGATGGAAGCCAATTCGTAGCCACTCATTGAGCTCCAACCACTTGGGCACCCACTGAGCTTCGAGGGTGTATATAACGTATGGCTTCTATGATATCTGGACACGCCCAATTTCAAGTGGCACCCGGGATGCCAAATGAAGCCTAAAATCCGCACAAAAAGAATATGCAAATGCGGAGGCAGAACAAAAGCGAAGCTCAGGAGAAGAAACCTTGTGGTTCACACAATAAATCACGACAACCAGAACAGCTATAGCTTCGGCTATACTGTATGGCCATTGTAATTACAGCAACAATAGACAGCTGGCCGACAAAACTAAGCCAAGATTGTTGACCATTTTGTCGTTGAAGCGTGCGGCAAACTGTTGTGTTTTCATGTCTGGCTTTTGTTTGTCCATTCTTTACATTCGCCAAAGCAAAATGGTAAAAAGACAAACAGCCAAGAGCCGGGCAAAATTATGCGGAAAATTACAATGCATAGAAATTTGTGCCGTTTGAGAGACAGATCTAATCGTGAATTATGTATTTCTGGGTGTAGGCTAAGGTTACACAAT